GGTACCATTAATTTCAGGATAGATACCGTCTTGCAGTGTATGCTTCTCTCAGACATCATGCACTTCTGTCTAGGAAGAAAGGCATCTTTCACTCAGAAATAATTGCTGCTGATTTTTCTATAAAGACTTTTTCATTCTTCAGATGGTTTTAGATGTCCTAGGGCTTTTAAGTCTGTGTTCATACAGCTGTGCTTGTGCTCCCTCTAACCAGTAGGAACCCAACCCACTCTTTCCCACCCTACTGAAACAAGATGCAGTTTAGAAACATGTAACTTCCAGATACTATCTAAATTTCATTCAGTTATTTCCAGGCAAAGAGATATCATAAAGCTTACTAGTATTTAAATGTCTCACTGGAGCTCTTAGAGTGACTTTGTTACTTGTTCTAACTGTGCTATAGCTCAAGCTCCTTGAAATATATTCTAGTATTACATATGCAGTATTCAAATCACCAGCACATATGAAACTCAGATGAATTCTTGGTTTAATTATACCTGTGTATAATTAACACATTAGATACAATAATTCCCTAATGCCTAGCAATGCCTTAGTGTGATCTCTTACCAGTCTCCTACTGGTGCAAAATGCTGTGTCCAACCTCTAGAGGAATCAGTGAATTCACCTCAGGATCAGGGCCTCGGTTACACAACATCTTAGTTTTCATGTATGTGCTGTTCAGGTGGCACTCACAGACAGCCTTTATGTAGCAACAGCAAATTGTTCAAAATGGTTCAGCAATGGTTCAAAACCATATGCAGAGGTAGGGGGACTCAGAGTAATTCCTGAAATTATTCTTAAATGCATTTTGAATTGACTTTCCTGTTGATTTCACAGCATATTTACGCAGCAGTAAAATCTCTGGTATATATTTATAGCATTGCCAATAAAATGTTTTTTAAAGCATTTTGGATCATCATCAGTTCAGTCTATGCTAACATTTTAAATGGAGCTGTTCACAACAAACTGATTTCAGTATGAACATGGTAACACGCTTTATATGTTAGTATGCATACACCAAATAAAACTCAGAGCCTTATATGAGCAAGTTTCATGTGAAGCCATTATAGTTTATATTTTTTAAATCCTATGAATTTGCATTTCTTCTTCCTACATGTGATTTGCCTTCATATCAAAGGCCTGATTTTCATAGTAAGTATTTACAAGTCCAGTGGGAAACAACAGATGTAGTGATCATTTCAGAGTTACATCCTGAATACCTACCTTTCTCTGAGGTGAGGGGGGAAGAGAATGATGCATTTGCTATAGGTGATGTCTGTGCATCTCACGTTTTGAAAGAGAACATTATTCCTGTCCTACTGGCAAAATCCAAGCAATCTTTGCTTATGATATGTATTCTGAAGAGATCTATGGGTCTGGTGTGAACCAGAGACCCTGGTGTGAACCAGGGTCTGGTCTGAACCTTTATCTTCTATTTCACTGTAAGAGATGACCTTGTTTTTCCAGTCAAATCCCTTATTTAACCTTCATTTATTCTAAAACTTCCATCTATGGGAATTTGTGTAGCGCTGTCATCCAGCCAGCTTTGCAGTAAATGAAAGGTAACTCCCATCCTATTTTCTATTTGGGAAAGTGCCTCCAGAGTGTTCCAGTTTGTTAGGGGTTTTTTAGGTCCTTTCTAGTGCTTTTTTCCCCAGTGTCATGCTCCTGTGAACATAGTCCACAATGCATATGCTTAAAAAAAAAACCCAGTTATTTTGCTCCAGGAGAGCAGAGTATGGGATGAGGAGAGCACTCATGCTACCTGGCATGTTAGGTGAAGCCCACTGCATCAGCTAGCAGGGGTGAGGCATCCTGTAAACACTGCATGGGAACCTAAACATATGCATCTCCTTAAGATGAACCAATGACAAGCTCATACCTAAGCCACAAGTAGTAGAAAACATCGTGAGAAGTAAAAATGTGTAGAAGAAATTACTGGTTTTTAAATTGTGATTAGCTATACAGAGACAAAATTAAAAATTACAAATCGATCTGACCCTCTTTTACCTATTTTCATTGTTAGGAAGAGGAGGAGGAACTAAGTTAAGACTTAGAGAACTAGTAGCTAAACTTCTACAAGTTCAGGGCAGCTTAAAGTTCACTGGAGACTCACTGCTAAAGGCAAAACTGCAGAACTTTATCTACACAGAGAAAGGAGAGGAAGTGAAAGACTAACCTGGTTGAATAATAAGATCTTCAATGACCTGAAATGAAGTAGAAAGGCAGTCAAATTACTAAATTATTAATAAATATATGTACTATATATGGACAAAACCAGAAAGACACAGTCCCAAGATGTTAGAAAACTGGATTTAAAAGATAGCAAGGATGTTGGAAAGATGCATAGTGAGAAAAGCAAGGGGAAAAAAAAATGGTCTGTTTTCCATAGAGAGGGAAATCACCTAATTATTGGTGGTACCAGTATGCTTAATGCCTTTTTTAACCTCGGTCTTATATTTAAAACACAGATGCAATTTCACTACTAGCACCACTGATAAAGGCCTGAGAGCTTAGGCTAGGAAAATGAAGAAATAGACTGGAAAATACTTATCTAAGTTAAGGATTTTTTGATAGAGTGAACCTGATGAAACTCCTTTAGGGTTCAAGCAATGTTAGAGCTGCTACAGATTATCCCTAAGAATCAATATTGGGAATGAGTCAGGTTCCAGAAAACTAAAACAGGATTCCATCTCTCTCAAAGGGTGGAAGGAAACTGCTCTACAAACTGGTTAGCTGAATTTTTCAGTAAGAACAAAAATATTCAACAGGTAATCCAACCACTTGGAAGAATCTAGAAAATAATGGTATGAAAAGTAACAGCATGGGTTTGTCAGTAACAAATAATACCAGATCAATCTAGTCTACTTCTATCAAATGGTAACAGGCTTTGTGGATAGGGCAGAAAGAGTGAGGATCACAGGATTTCAGAAGTGCTCTTAACTGAAAAAAGAATACAGACTAGACAAGTATATAGAATGAGCACAAAATTATTTGTGAGTAATTAGTACTTCCAAGCTGAAAGGATACATTGAATGGGATTTCACTGAGATCTGTCTTGGATCCAGAACTATTCAGTACTTTCATCAACATCTTTGATGACTGAACAGAGTACACTTATATTCGGAGACTGTATCTACAGGAAGAAGCTCCAACTATGCTGGAGTACATCATTACAATTCAGAAGGATCTTGGCAGACTGGAGAAGCTGAAATGCCACTGAATAGGGAGAAACAGAAGGTTTTACGTATACAAAGCAATAATCGACTGCACAAGAACATGGAAGGATAAAAAAGCAGTTCTTCAGAAAAGAAATTATAGATTATGAGCAGTATTAGGGTAGCTTGCATTATGCTGATGCTGGGATGCATAAATAGGAGTATCACAAATGAATATCGTAACAAAAAACAATTTTGATCTCTCCAGCTGTTATTATTTTATCTGAAATAGTCTGCTCAGTTTTTAGATCTGCACTCCAGCAGAGTTGAGAACCAACTCAAAAATACTGAGAGGAGAGAGACAAAAATGGCAAACTACAAGGGAAGGCAGAAGGGACAGGAGTTCTCTGGCCTAAATAGCAGATGGAGGGCAGGCAGAGTTGTTCACCTACATCAAGAGGAAAGAGAGAACCTGCTTTCTGTGTGTACCAGTTAGGTTAGCTATTAGCAAGCTTCCTGCTTGCCAAACTAGCTAAGGACTGAACACCATTTGGAGAGACAGTGAAATTTCCATCTCTGCAGGTATCTAATCATCTTCCTGCAGTACAGTAGCGACAGCTGATCTGAGGCTGAGGTAAGACAAGGACCCAGGCAGCCTCTCAAAATCCCTTGCAGCACTGTTTTCTTCGTCTGCTACGGCTGCAAATAAGACAGGGATTATCCTTTGTTCCCTCATTTCAGATTTTGCTCTGAAAGCTAGCTTAAGTAACTGGCAATGACGAGTTGTCAGGAGTGGCTGTGAATCTGTAGCCCTTTCCATCCACTTGCAGCAAGCATACTAAATGGCCTAGTGGTGCAGTAACCTGGCAGTACACTCAGACACATTAGGTCCCATGTGCTTCAGAAAGCACTTCCCAGAGCTCACTGTCTCAATACTGAATTTAATAATAATTTGATATTATGGCAATCTGCAAACAGCCCTCAAAAAAGCAGGCGTAATTCAGGAGGGTAGTGACATTCCAGAAAAGTCAGTGCAGTTAGTTATTCTGGATGTTCTGGGATAGCTCACAACACGTTTTGCACAGTAGTATTATTCATTCACAAATTGTGATAAACCAATTATATTAACTAAGCAGCAGAACCACATCCCCCCGGGGGGGGGGGAGGGGGGGGCAATAATAGCACAATATAATCACCACAGTTCTTCAGATTTCCCTACTTGTGTTTTCCTTCTGCATATCCTGCAGGTTTGATTTGTGTTTGCTTTGCTTTTGGTTAAAGGAAGAGAATCTGGCATCCTGGTTCTGCCCTCATTTGAATATAAATAAAATCTGATATCCTCCACTGAAAGATATCACATACTAGTATACAACAGACCACAATAAGCAGAATCAGATACCTAATGTATTTATACTTTAAGAAAATAGCATAACTCTCTCACAGTATCAGACAAGTGCTGCTTACCCTTTTAATATTGTGATCATTTATGACAAAAGGAATTTTTGAATACGCAGGTATGCTGCTTACACCTGCATGAATTATTATTATCTATAGGATAAAAGTTTGTATTAGCAAGATAATTATTACTGGATGCATTCTGTTCTGTGATTTCTGCTTTTTAAGGGAGGTCAGTAACATACTGATCTTGTATATGGCTTATTTTCTCTCAGCCCTCACCTTTGTAACCTCCCTATTCAACGGTATTCAAGTGACACATTTGTTTCTGAAATGGATATAAAAGAAACAAAGCCAATTCTCAGGTGACTGTATTAAATATCCACTACTTAAAAAGGTGTTATCTGGGGGACAACATAAGTGATGTCATGCATCAAAAGGTTCCCCATGTGATGATGTCAATGTTCATTACATGAAAAGTCTTGTATAAATAACAGGGGGAAAAAAAAAGTCAAGGTTTTTTTTTTTATTAAGACAAAATTAGTACACTTAAAAAGTTCATTTCTGAAAACATTTACATGCAAATGCAGTCATCCTGTGATGCATCTGCTAATTCCAAAGTCAGAGAATTGTTTTAACTTCACATTAAAAATATGAAAATATAATATAAACATATCAAAACATTTGGCAACAAGTTTGTTTAATACAAAGGATGCCTAAATAATGTGTTTTGGAATCAGAGGCTCACTTTTAAACACCTGTGAGTTCCTTTGCAATAGTTAATACTTTCTGATGAGAAATTTCAGAATGCACAGCAGGTTCTCTTCTTACTTTCATTTAGATCCACGACATTTAAGTCATGCAATAAACAGGAATTCTGTAAGACGAAGAAAAGCAAACAATTAAGATAACTAGAACACAGTTAAAAAGCTTTAATTTTCACATATATTAAAATGTAAAAGATTTCATGGGGTCACTGGGTCAAACACCTCTCCTAACGCTGAAGGTGACAAATGACAGAAACTGTCTTTTGAGGAGACACTGCAGATAATATGAACTAATCCTGTAAATCTTTACTCGTGTGACTGGTTCTAGATGGACAGGTTCTTCTGTTGACTACACCAATTTTCACTAATTTGCAGGTAAGTACCCAAATCTTTGAAGTTTTGAGCATGAGGTGTAAAAATCCAGTTGAAAAGAATAGCAAAATACAGAAAATCAGTACCCATTAAAAAAGGCACAGGCTATTAATTGCTTTAAAGGACGTTAACTTGCTGTGTGAAATTCACTAACATTCGGTTTCCTTGCTTCTATTTCATAACCAGGAATACCCCCAAATGGAAGCAGCTCAGACTTTACCAAGATAAACTCTCCAAATAGCACTCCACCCTTGTAAAACATTGATGTACTGATTGCAAAAGCAGATTAAAAAGAAAATTAAAAAAAAAAAATCAGCACAGGCAGGACTCTTGCTTTCAGCACTAAACTCAACCGAATAATTTGTGCTGACCAGAACACAATCAAACACAGAACAATCAAAGCCAGTTGTGCAATACAGTACGTGTTGCAATCTTGTACTCTAGTACTATGAACACTGAACCCTGAGCTCGGGCACAGAGGCATAGGGAATATTGTCACATGCCTAGGAAAAAACAAAGAGTCCTAACTTCTCTACTTGCTGTTCTTCTCCCTGCATCATGGCAGGTTTACCAAGTATGTAATGGTACACAGAGAAGTAAGTGCAACCACTGAATTCACCACATTCCTCTCTCAACCCAAACCCTACAGCCATAAACAACCATTTCTGACAATAAAGAGAAGCTTCCAGAGAGGACAGCTATCTAAGCTGGGATTCATGAAATTCAAGGCACTGGGGAAAAAGGAAGAGTGGGGGGGGAAAAAGGCATAATGTAGTACAATGCTGATCATGATTCAGAATTGAAAACTTAGACCTAGAATGCCATAGGGTAGTTGAACATTGACTACATTCAGAACAGCTCACCTAAAATTACTCAGCTGAATCAGAACAAGGGGAATACAGAAGATTTCTCCATCTTACAATCAGCCTCACGCCTCTTTGGCTGAGAATATTTAATGCTACCTAAAATTCTGGAAAAGCATCATGAAATTTGTTGCCTTTATCCTTCTGTAGCCATAGCTTTAGCTCTTCCAGCGTGCTGTCTGCCCTGTGTCAGGGCCATCCCCATGAAGAGTGTGGCTCAGCCTGTTCCTCCCTGGGTCTGCAGGGACCCATGGAGGCTGCCACAGTGTGCCCTGCTTGGGGGAGAAAATTAAATACCTGGGAAGGAGTGGGAAGGGCTAGATAGAGGCAGGAGCAAAGAGTAGGAAAGGTAACACAGTGTGTAATCCTCATGATGGACACTGAAGCTGTCACCAGTAAAATTATTAACACTTATTATTCTGAAACTAGGACACTGGAAGACTGTGACTTAGTGATTTTAGGAATTATGTTGTTAGACACATATGCATCATGTATGAAGAAATATAGCATGTGAACATGCTTTTTTGTTGGAGCTACAAATACCCAACAGACATAACACTTTTACTACCCTTGTGAGTTCACACAAATTCCAATACACAGCTTCATAACTTCTGCTTTATTTTTTTACACAGCTGAGTACAGGCATCAGCCATTCTGATTTGTGCTAGGTGGAGACAGCATTCCATAGTCTTCAGGCATAGACAATAAATGTGAAGTATGATGAACTTTCTAAAAGAGGGAACAAGGCGGACTCAAAAGGACACAAACATAACCTTGTCGTCTCAAGGAACAAGACATCTCTCTGGTTCAGAGATAAGATTCTGGGGAAGGGGTGAAGTTTTGGAGAATAGTGGTATGATAAGAAATTTATAATCACTCTGTTGAGACCAGGAAATAACACTGAGCATTGAATATTGTGGACATAAATCAAGTAGGTTTTGTTTCACAACTGCTTTTTCTTCAGAAGAAAAAAAAATCCAGTTTAAGTAGTTAAACAGTTCTAGAAAAATCCCTGTTTGAACAATTTCTGGATTCAGACTTCGCTTGCTTAACTTTAGAGGAAACAGGCAATTTGAACATGTAGCAGGTTATATCTAATTTCATGTTTCAGTTAAAGGGGAGAAACTTGCATGTTGCTTAAACACTGAAGGTGCTCATTTGCAAAAAGTTTATTAATTCATAGTACTTATGGGTGGTAAGCTGTTCATGTATTGTTAGCAAGGATCCTCAGTGCTGTAAGTGATTAAGAATGATGAAATGTATCTGCCAATGAGATGGCTCATATACGCTGCAAAATCATTATCTGATAGCAGTTAATCAATGAATTAGCCAGGACAGAAAGACAAGAACCACCGTTCTACAAATTAAGAAGAAGTAACAGTTTGTTTAAAACTATTTAAAAGTTGACGACTTTAAGAATCACTTCTGTTTGATAAGACTATTCCATACATGATCTTCATCAAGCAAATAAGGGCTTGGCTTCTTTTAAGCAAACGTGCTATACACACATTTAAAAAGTGTCCATTCATAACCTGTATAGATGCTCTGAGTCCTTGCATGAAGCACTGAAACAAAGATCAAGCAATCCCACATAATGCTCAACTTCAGCCAAGCCTTGGGAGAGGTGGGGCACCCTCCTCTCCTGAAATTACAGCAGGGAGGTATGCAAATCTCTCCCACCTGTGAGAACAAGGCAGGCAGCATTCCTTCTTCAAGGTTCCATGAACGCTAACCCTTCCAGCTCACATTTCAGCTCAGCCTGTTGTAAGTCACTCCTCAACAAACTAGCCCAAAAACAAAAGAAAACTGAAAAGGTGAGAAGAACCAAAATGGTACCAAGAAGCTTGAGTTTCCACTTTGGCATCTTGGGCAAAGTGGGGTTTTGAAAATACCAGCACAGACACAGATACCGCTCTACCCTGCAGTGATTTTAGTCAGTCATTGAAACTTCCTCCTATCAAATACTAGTTTTTCCTGTTCAATAGCACAGCAGACACGTCTCACCTAACAGGCAGGCATCTGGTTCAAGCCAGTTTTAGGCTTCCTGCTGTTCGCCCTCCCTAGCTCTAAGCAGTTTGTACCACTGTTGTCCAACAGATACTTAACTTCTAGACACAGGAATTATCATGAGATGGCTGAGATCCCAAATGTTTTTGGCATTTTTTTTCCTTTAATCAGGGAAAGAAAGCTAAGCTGGTATGCAAAGCGAAATGTCATAGAAAAGAAGGAAAGCTCTTTAATAGGCTTCTAATGAGGTAAGTTTAGAAATCTTCATTAAGATCAGCTGTCTATTCCTTGCTAAAAACCTGCTCAGATTTGCCGTACCATACCAAGGTGAATTCACCTATGCTAGCACCAGTTATTGTTATTTCTATGCTGTTTTAGTTAATTTGGAGGTGGGCTTTGCTATGGGTTTGGAAGACTGACAAGATTTTACTCTATCCATTTCTATGTCTCCAATCAAAGTCAGATCTGTAGTGCTTGCTGGAAAATTAAGAGTTTTAGAGAAACAGAAGGGACTGTAACTAAAGTTATCATTATTTGTAACATCTTTAAATTCTGAGGATTATTATTCTCTCTAGTGACAAAATGATCATACATCACCACCACAATACTTTTCTTGTTATTTAACAGTGACAGTTGGCAAAGACTGGCAAAGCATGGCACAGAACTTCATGCAACCAAGTTCACATAACTACTGTGCCTGAACTGCCAGTAGAGAGCTGATATTAAGATCAGTCCTGTCATTTTCTTGATGTGTATTTTCCCTGTATTCTGTAATTCAAAGTACTTGTTCAAAATCCAAGACTATCCTCTCACAACAGGAATGGATAGGACAGAGCACAAGCAGTATCAAACAAGAGGTAGGGATGTATTAGTAGGTAAAGTAATCTTTAGGGGTACAGAGACAGGAGCAGGAGAGGAATCAGGGTCAGGCACAGCAGGATCTAACTGCTGCAGACTACCTCCCTCAAGAAATGGGAAGTCCTAGCTCCCAACGCCTCCTATTCCAAAATGTCTAAATCATCTAACCCAATGGCAAAGTGTGGGTATCTATCTCCCTCTTCTGTTACTACCATATAGACTGTAACAATGTTGTACTGCAACTAGTTATTTCACAAACTTGAGAAGACAGTTGTGCTGTTACTCTAAGGTTCCTCAACAGATCATCTATGTAGGGATTAATATAGTTGCACCTCAAAACCCTTATTTAAAGGAGAAATCTCAGCTTCAAAGTCAAGATCTTGCAGAAAGCAACAAATGCCAGAAGTAAGTCAAGCGTGTAACATCCCTTTGGTCTCCTGGAGTTTATTTAACTCTAATCATATGAAACCATATAGCCTGAGAAATGGAGTCCTCTGTAATCAATTTTAGAGACTGGTGAGATAGTGAGAGAAAGGCACCTCCAAAACAAAATTTTATCCTAAAAACATGCATCTCTTTGCATTGAATAGAGATGATTCTAGATAACTAGACCAGTCATGTAAATTTTGGTTGGCTATATTTACATGCTGAGATGCAACCCCTATACTCATGCATTGTAATTAAGTTTTGATTTACATGACCTAATTATATGCTACTGTTTCCAGAAGAATATCTGGCTCATTCAATGTCCAAAACAGACCATTTTTTTAAATTAAATGAGATAGTGTAGTTAAATTATGCCCTATGTTGCATCAGTACTTCATTCACTTTGCTTTAATCTCTGCACCTTGGTTCCCATGTGTGCAATGCTGAACATCCTACCTAATGTTACTAAGAAGATGAAGATAAAAATCTAAAATACAGCATGATGAGCTTTATGAAAAACCTCATGAAGAAATTAATATACTGTGGTCAGTATAAGATAAATAAAGGGCAAATAAAGCCTGGGGCTCCATGCATAACTGAGGATAATAAACACTGAATGTGCGCTGCTGGAGTCACAGGGATCTTTTGGACAAACTAACAATTCCATGAACCTTGGCAATAATAAAACCTGATTTCCTATGGATTTTGGTCTTGCAGTGAATTAAATTTGGTATCTGTTATGCAAACTCCAGCTGGAGTGGCTGGTTGGAGCAATTTTCAGTCTTCCTCTGTAATACTGTATGAGCTAATGCTGGTGAATTTCCTCCAGCAGAGTACCCTGCTTCCCCTGCACTCAGCACCTTCTTTTCAAGGAGCTCTTTGGGAGCTTCATTATCTTTTCGTTTGACCCATCAAATCTGTTTAAAATCAGCTAGCAAGTTCCAAAGGTGCTTTAGGAGCAAATAAATGGCGTACATAGTGTAATCTCAAAAATCTTGTTGCCATAGGAAAGGAAGGCAGTGAGATGAAGGGAGAACAGAACTGAGGCCTGCTACTTCTGAATGTTCATTTCAAATGACATCCAGCTGTTAAACATTAAATGTTACTCTCAAAAGCACAGGGCAAGGTCTTAAATGGATTTCGACTGTTCTTGCTCAGCAGATCTATGTTTATATAATAGTGTATTAAAATAATAGTCAATCACTCTTTGGACTCTTTGGAGGTAGGCAGAAGGTTAAGTTTTGGTTTGTTTCATAGCAGTCTTCAAAAAAGGGCAAAAAATTCTGGTTTTCCCCCTTTTTGATCACAGTTTCCCTCCTCCTGCTCCTAGTTTAGAAAAATACCAACCACCACACCAACAAAGACAGAAATACACAGGCTTGTCATAGTGTTTTAAAAAGCTAGTTGAGAAGAGTAGTACTCATCAGCCACGGAACTAAACAACACAAAGTGCAAATACTAACTGCATTCTGGGTGGTATTTTGGGGGATTTTGGTTGGTTTTTTGAGGACTGACTCACAAGAACAAATAGTTCACTGGCAGCCAGAAGAATTGTTAAGGAGCAGCTGCCATCTATTAATGAACAGGTTTAGGCATATCTGAGACTCATTAGAATTGTGAATAAATAAAATACTGTTGTTATTTGTCAACATGTCTAAGCAAGCCTCTGGAGTAAGCACTGTCATTAACATTTATTTCCATTGCAGCATTTTGATACAATCAAATCACTTATTATGAACTGATTGGTTTGAAATTCTCAAAAATATGTCATGACTCCTTAACTGCTACCAATGTAAAGCTGTCAAATAACATCTGATTGTTTTAATGAGACTACCCATGTAAATTAGAGCTGTAGGATTCAGACACCGCAGCACTTTAGTTATCTGAATCACTGGTGTACAAAGCCTTCTCTCTTCCTTAAGCCCCCCACAAAAGAAGATAGGAAAATGCAGCACACAGTAATGACAATACAAACTTGACCTTTTTCTTCTTTAATGTCTGACCCATTTTAATGTGTTTTTTCCCAGTCCTCCATTGAACCACTACTTGGTCTAAATATCATGACAGTCAAGAAGCTCGCTATTTCTGTATGAGCCCTGTAACTCCAGAAATTATTGTTTCCCATCTACAGGAGTGTTTTCTGTAGATTTAGTCAATGAAGAAATTTCCATAATAGACGGTGAACAAGAGAGTATATAACAATATCCTAGATTTCCTCAGCTTCATACAGCCTACTGCAATGCACCTGAAAATGCTATACTGCCTGCCAGCCTGCCCTGCTTGTCTATCTTAATTCTAAATGACCTCCACATACTTCCCAACAGTATGGCCATAAGACTTCTCTATGGAGTTCCTTAAAATGAGTTTCCTGTGTGGTACTTCCACTGAAGCATCTAATCGGTCTGGGACAGGTGGTCCTATTGCAGAATTAAGGGAGGCCCGATATCCTGCTGCCCCAGACACAGGTGTCTTGGGCCAAAACGCTGTGCAAAGCTGTATCTCATTTTTCCAATCAGCAAGTACACATTTTACCACTACGGTTGTATATGACTGAAGTGATCTCAGACTGGCATCTCTCATGTCAATTTTCACAGCTACTAGTTACGCTTACTCCTGCATTTTCCCTTCTCCAAAATGCCATCAGTTAAAGGAGGTTAAAATTCAAGTACTACATTCGGATTTTACAGTTTTGTGAACAAGCAAATTATTTTGTCGAACCTGAAAAACATGACGAAACTGTGTGGTAGGTTAATTCTTTTTACTGTGAGCTCTATCAGGCCAGTGGCAAAACCAACTGGGCTACGGGAGTTTTTGTTTAAATCACCAAATGCATTTCACTGAAAATGGCAAATTATATGCCAAATTAATGGTCTGTGATGCCCCATCAGGGATTACAAACATTTCTGGATGAGGAGAAATGTTATTACTTACAAACTTAAAAATTCTCATTGACATATTTTCCATAAAATGGGTCAGGCACATATATGCAAGCAGAGTGTACACCTGTATTCTCAAGCAGTTCTAATTAAAGCCAAGCAGGGGTATAATATTTACAACATGGTCTGAATTCGTTCGCATGTCCACAATACAAACCCCATGAATTTTCATGAAGATGAGTAGGAATACTAAATTTCCACTTAAAGTAAAGTAAGTGCAGGGGATCTTACTGTGAGAAATATCCAAACATGATTTCTGCATGCTGCAGAGAATTCTCTCAGATCTTACCCAAACACACTGTGCAGGAATGCTCATTTCACACATATTTGTCTTTGCAGCAGTTATGATAATAGCCATTGTTTTGTAGTATTCATGCTTCACACTAACAAATATATTCTCTGTTTACAGTAGACAATGTCTTTTGCATTTACAAGAAAATCAGAGTTATTTGAGACTTTGCCAGCTATTCAAGGGACCTGCCATTATCCTCCTGGTCTAAATGATATTTGACTGTTGAGCTGCTGAGCTTCATTTTTACGCTAAAGAAATCAGAAGCCTTTTTTGTTAATGTTTTCCTCCCCCAAAATAACCAACTACAGTTTGTGTTATTGAATAATATGACAGGACCTTGATTTAAAAGCAGTCCAGCCCCACGGTATTATTCTGACCATCCCCTACGGCTACTTAATCAAAACACCGCAACTTGTGACTTTGTCAGTAATTTTGCTCATTTATCTTTATTATGACTTCAAGAGTATTCGGAATGGAAGGTTAGTTTTGTATAACTAATATTGGTGATGAATGGCAATGATAATGCATTGCATGAAGAACATCCATTAATGTCTAAAATAATATTCTACTGTCTAAAAATAAATTGCAATGCAAAACATTTCCAGTGCTAATGAACAATAATTCAGTCCTACAAAAGTATTGCCACTCTGAGGAGTAAGGACCTTTAAGCCAACACACTCAAGGTAGTTAGACATGATGATTCTGACAGCTACAATATTGATTCTACCACTAATTAACTCAAATTTTCAGGTCCCAATAACTTCAAAAGCAGTAGTGTAAATCATCCAAACAGCTATGAACTTTGCATAAAACATTTGATTGCTGAGCATGAAAGTTCTGCTCATTCCATCAGCATGCAGCATCTTTACAGTGTGAATATTCTGCAGAAACCTAGAGGAAAAAGAAGTCTTCCTGGCACAGAAGTGGAACTACTCTACAGCTGTCAACCTCTCCCTTGAAGAAAAGTGTGGAAAGAAAAGCCACAAATGCAACTTTCCTGAATTTTCACCTTTCCTCTAAACTTTATTTCATCTATTTCCCTAGTCTGTTGCTCTCCTGTAATTCTTCTCCTGAACATTTCTCCTCTGTATGTCTATACCTAGCAAATTCCCCCAAAAGATTAACTCCATAATGCAAAACCAGCACTGGCTGTGCTTTGCTAGCCTGTCAAGAAAAATCTTCCATTTTCTTTCTACTCAGAATAGAAGCCTACCTTTTCCAGTATGTACTTAGTTAAGACTGAGAATGCTTCCTCAATGTTCACATTATCTTTAGCACTGGTTTCAAAAAAGGGTATTCCATGTTCCCAAGCAAGCTGAAAAACAAATGTAGGCAATGGGATGAACAGTCTTTAGGAAAACAAAACACTTCCTAATACTAATAGCAAGAGATATAGAGGAGTTCTGACAGCTTCTAACACGCTATATAAACACTGATTAAGTATATGTCAGCTCAGTAAAGTACTCTATATTCATCCTCACATTCTTCTTAAGTTTCTCCACTTTCAAAACAGCTTTTTAAACATACCTTTACCTGTAAATAAGAAGAATAAACTCTAATGGACCTGTTCTCAATGTTTTGATTTATTTGGAAAATGCACTGTCTCCTAGACATTTATTTGGAGGAAACTAATGGAGTATGTGCAGAAAAGTATAGATAAAAATGTGACAAAAACTGTAGAAAAAGAGGTGTGACAAAATATGAAAAAGAGATGCTCCTTTTTACCAGAGGGAGAGAATCACGGAGATAATAGCAAGCAAAAACCAGATATGTATGCAAAAATAGGGGAAGAGAGAAAATACTTAGAAGAAAAGGTCAGCACAGAATTTACATAGCTTGATTTTGTTTAATTTACTTGTTCTCTCATTTCCAGTGTATTTCCCTTACAGATAGCTTAGAGATATGCTGGCATGAGGGAAAAAAACCCCAAACCAAATCAAACAAAGAAAACCCTCAAACCCACAACAAAATTCATAGCTTTTTAAGGTCCTAAACCTTTTCTAATTTATACAGTTAAATACATGTAGAAAAAAAGTTGCATCATTGGCCAAGGGAGGGGGGCAAGGTGGGAATACTATCTGCCAGAAAAACATAGTGGGAGAGTCTATTTATTCCCTTTGCAATGGATCGCTTGTTGGTATACATCCAGAGAAGATGATCCCAGGCAAAGAAAATACTGCTTATAATGTATAAAAAATCCTATAATTACTCACCATTTAATGATTTATTTGGCAGGCTCTCCATATTAAGATAAAAAGTCTAATGTTGGCAGTTATGTTTGCTTTCTATGAGCTCTAGGAGTAACAAATCAATGCTTTACAAAAATTCCAAAATGAGGCATGAAGGTACAAGAATTTTAGTCAAAATATAATAACGATTATATTAGTAGAAAAAATAGTAAGAAAAATGGCTTCTTTTCCAAAATGCTTAAGAAAACATAATTTTGAAAATAAAGATGAGGCACTGGAAGTGCCCAGAGAAGCCCCATTCCTGTAAGTATTCAAGGCCAGGTTGGACAGGGCTTTTCCGAACCTGGTCTAGTGTGAGGTGTTCCTGTACATAGTAGGGCGGTTTAAACCAGATGATCTTTAAGGTCTTCCAACCCAAACCATCCTATGATTCTATGATCTGGACTGTTTGCTAAGACAGTTTCATATGGGATTCTGAAACTTGAGCTGGCTGCTAATACAGTTTTCAGTACTGCAGCAACTTGTTACAGAAAGTTAGTATCATTTGACTACTGGCAAGTGTAAATGCAAAATGATGTATAATGGTTCATAAAGAAAAATACAGGCAATAAGAAATACTGAGCTAATAAACTGGAGAAGACTGGTTTGCAGCTTACAAAGTACACAGAATCTACTACTACATATACCTTTTGTCTCTCTTGTGACATGTAACAGATTCCTAGAGGCTACCTACGTACAAATTTTGATCAACACAAACCATTTTAATCACGGAATCAGAAATAATTTGGAAAAATAACACCCTTCTTGAAATAGGAGAGCCAAAGCTGGACAAAATATTCCATGTGGCCTTGCCAGCACGAGAGGGGTAATAATCTTCCCAGATCTAACATCCATTACCCTTCTAATGTAGCCCAGCATACTTTCAAGCAATGAGAGAACACTTTCAACTTACATTCAAGATTGGTCTTCACCTTAACCCACAAATCCTTTGCAGTAGGGCAGTGATTCATGCCTAGGATTACTCCATCCCAGGTGTAAATCTTTGCCTTTGTTACTGAATTTCATGTTTCTGTTGGCCTGGTTCTCAAGTTTATCAAAGTCCCACAGAATTAGTGCTCTCCTATTCGGTATGTCATACCCCTTAACCTCATGTCATGTGCAAATCTCCTTGTATCATCAGCCAGATGAAGATGTTGAACAATGTGAGCCCCACTACGCACCCCTGATGTATTCTGCTCACTACTAGCTACCAACCAGACACACTGCCTTTGATCACTACCTTTCACCTCTGGATGTCCAGCCAATTTTCAGTCCACTTTTTCAGCCCCTGGTTTCTAGCTTCCAAGTGAGAATGCCATGGGCAAGGATGACAAAAACCTCACTAAATTCAAGATACATCACAACCACCACTATTGCCTTGTCAATGCAGTTATGTCCTAGCATCACAGCAGTCAAACAGCATGTTGAAGCCACATTTAGGGCCTGTAATGACAGGGCAAAAGGTAATGGGTTCAAACTTAAACAGAAGAGAGTGGAGGGGCACTGGAACAGGCTGTCCAAGGAAGTTGTGAGTGCCCCATTCCTGGAAGTGTTCAAGGCCAGGCTGGATCGGGCTTTGAGCAACCTGTTCAGGGGAGTTGGAACTAGATGATCTTAAGGTCCTTTTCAATCCTATCTATTCTATGATTCTAATGTACCCTCTGTTGACCATTCCAGGTTGTCTTCATGTCCTTTACATCCTTGGATCTAAAGACAACACACTCCACAATCCTTCCACTGACTGATGCAAGGCTGACGACTACAGTTCCCTGAAACCTCTTCCTTGCCTTTTTTAAAGGTATGTGTCCTGCTGGCATCTTTCTAGTCAACATGGATCCTTCCCAACCACCATGCGTTTCCAGAGTTGACTGGCAGTGGCCCAAATCACATTGACCAGCTCTTTCAACACAAGTGGATGAACTTCATCATGTCCATGGATGCATCGAACTTTCCTAAGCAGTTTCTAATCCAATGCTTTTCCACTGCTGGCTGACCTGCTCCTCCCCAAACCATGCCAGTATACACAGAGGTCTGGGAGCAAGCTCAATCTGAAGACCAATGAAAAACAAATATCAAATCAAATAAAAAAACCCTTGAGTACTTTAGCCTTCTCTGTATCATGTTACTACATTGCCTATTGCACTCATCAATGCATCCCTGCTTTCTCTGTATGTGCACACTTGGTCAAAGAAGATCACTGTGTGTATTATTGCAATTCACCTTGCATACTGGCAAGTTCTGTGGCAAGCAAGTCCTCTAAAAATTTAGCTAAATTGAAAAAAAACCCCATCAGTCCAGTGTTAAAGCAGCTGGAAGTAGGAACAAAGCTTGACTATTTCCTCTCATAAAGAAACTGGAAAGGCATATTCAAGGAATTACGTTTTTTTTTTGCCTTTGGTAGCATCTTGAATAAACCCATAAATAGAATATCTAAATACATTTACAAACCTATGAGAATTACACTATTGGGAAATGTTATTTTACACTATCCTTGAGAACAGTCTGGAGATCTTGAGTGAACTAAGCTCATATCTTACAATAACAAAGTATGTAATGCCAGTATCTCTTTCAAGGTGAAATTTAATTTCAGTTGTTAATTTCCTTTAACTCAAAATATATCGCTGTGTAGCAAAGTGTTGCTATGATTTCTTAAGTCTTGAATCAAAGAGATGTATCTGAAATATTCCCAGAACTCTGCAGAATGTTGGGTTGTTGATTTTTTTTTCATTTTTATTGTACCTGGAAAATCAGCTTTGAAGTCAGGAACATAAAGACAGCGAAAGCAAAAAAAAAAAAAGGAGAGGAAAAATATTTTACTTGCCTCTTTCTGTTAGAAAGATTTGGTAGAAGAAAACTGGTCACAGTCTACCAAGTCATATATCCTTCAACAGTTTTGTTTCTTTTTCAGAAAAAAGTATTCACGGGGGGGTGGGGTGGGTGCAGGTTGAGTGCAAACTTTTGTCAAAATGAATAAAAGCTATTAATACAAGAAAATGCTTCATAGTGTTAAACATATCAATCTGAGTGATCAAAATTATATAATTACAAAAAAAATCAACCAAAAAAATATTCTCAGCGTTAAATTGGTCTATAAAGTGGTATATGATGTCCACTCAGTTATGACAGATTGTTAAACAAATGCCAACATAGAGGATAAGGTTCACAGGGAATCTAGGGGTCTTCTCTGCAAGAATCTGGACATTAAAAGAATTGGTGAGGAGGTAATGATTTGTTTCTGGAAAAAATACTATATTAAGAGAATTTTTGATTGCACGGTTAAATACTAAGATGCCAGAAAATGTCATGGTTAATACCACATGCAAAACCCTACTACTGCCCTCTTGTGCACATGCATCCAGTGACTCTTTAGATTTCTGACAGTGCATTGAGTGAGAATACATGTATTTTTCAGCAACCTTATTCCTTGCACACAGATACAGTACACTACCAGTGAAAGAGTCTTGCATACGAACAGTGAACTTGCAGAAGTTTCTATCTGTAATGCTGTTGAAAAGGTGATGGTATTTTTTAAAGCTCCCTAATCTGGGATTATATAATTGGCAAGAAATTATCAGTGTTCTTTTCTTTACACACAGACATCCTGCCTGACTCACCATGCCTGAAAGCACAATAGAAGGGTTCATTCCAAGTTCCAGACAACAGATGCATCCAGTTTGCAGTTGCAAAACTCACTGGTATATAGGACATGCTCTCTTGCCATAGCATGTCTCCTGGATTTCCTTACTGGCTCTCAGTGACAGTAATTTGCCATCACCTTTAATTAACACCAGTTCTTCCCCTACACATGGTCAGCAGGTATAAACTACATTATAATCTCAGCTCTGACACCATACATAGATCTACAGGATCTGAATGTTCCCTAAATGTACTTAAATATCCAGTAATATTTAAGTTTCTTCATAGACCATGCAGATCACTGTGCACAGGCTGGCAGAATAGTTCCTTATAGTCAGGCTATCGCAAAAAATAATTCTTGATGGGTGGTACCAGAAAAATTATGCAGATTGTATTATCATTACATTTAGTATTCTGCATTTAGTATGCAGACTCCAAAATAGTTTTAATTCAAAATGTAATATTTCTATTGTAACACCTATAACTTTTAAAGTACATTTTGGCCTTTAAAATAAAAACCAGTATTCTAAAGAGATCAGCTAAGAGTTATGTAACGTATTTCAGTTCATATGTTAACAAAAAAAAACCCCAATACTCAAAAACTCCACAACTGTTCTTCTGGAGCAATTCCTAATGGAATATTTAGAATTCAGGAGCTTTTTGCTTTTTTTTCAGTGTAACAACTCACAGTCACATACTGAGATACTCAGGAGAACCCAAAGAAAGTACCAGTGATACCTTTTCTCCTTTCTGTTTTGGAACTACACGTTCTGACTCCTTATCGCACTTGTTGCCCAACAGTATTACGTCCACTTCATCACCCGCTTTCTAAAAGAGAACCAGCATTAATAAGTGTCAAGTAAGAAAAAAGAAAATAAGAAAAGCCCCTTCACCTTCAGCTCACACTACCCTTCAACACTTTATCTCCTTGAAAGTAAAGGCTAAATTCTGTTCTGATCATTTCATATGTGGCAATATTTTCCATCAGTTAATGGGATTTGAAGGAAAACAGCAAGACAGCAAAGAGCAGAAAAAAGCCACTTACTAACGTCGGGCATAATTTACTACTCCTTTCATAAGGCATAAAGTATATGGTGCATGGGCACCATCTTCTGACAAATGCTCCATCTTGAGGCTTCAAAGTGACTGGAAATGCCCTGCATTCACAGACATTGCCCTCCCCTAAAGTAATGGGTTCATGGATTAGCGCTTCAGTCAGGTCTACATTCAGCACTCACAAGTAAAAAGGAAGGAATTTGCTGCACTTGAAAGAGCACCTCTATGTGCTTCACATTTGCACACAGGCAGTAAAATTACATTCAAAGTGTTCAAACTCAACATAAAAGTTTGATTATTCCAAGGCACTCAGAAGAAGGCAATAGATTTTTAATGAAGTAAATGTAAAAACCTCATTGATTTCAAAAGGAAGAAAAATCTAGCTTTTTGACCTTGTCTCCATCCTTCATTCCACTCCAGTTACATCCATGACGACTGTGAAATGCATTGGGTGCTTTACATCAGTGTTATTTTAAGATAAGCCATTGTAAGGATACATGACTAGAATAATGGCAAGGAAAGGGAACAGTTCTGCAACAGCATGTGGAATTTGAAAACTTCTGTTGTGAAAATCATATTTAAAACTGCCTTTGGTGCTTAAATGGAGAAAGCTGAGGGTCTCAATCTAGAGACAATTAAAGCTAATGTGGTCTGATCCCATGGCTTATATTCTGAAAGTACATGCTCAAACGGCTTCTCTGATGACTCAGGAAGCCTGGTCTCAGCCAGCAGATCTGCTACAAGGATGCTGATGAAATCTGATCTCTGCCGAAGTTTTAAGTTCTGTAACTTTGCTTAACATAAGGAAAGAGTTTTAATTTTTATAACTTTGCTAACATAAGACAAAATCAGGCACAATCTCCCTCCTCAGAGCTCATACATGTCCCTCCCTTCACAGAAATGCACAGAAAGACCTCTATTCATTAAAGGATGACAGAATCATTATTTTTAGTCTATCTGAACTTTTAGAACTAAGTTGCTTCATTTGAAGAATACAGCAGTAGGCACAATTTACTATTAAGAAACACTATTTCATTTGTTTTAATCCATTCTCATTTTAAAGTCAGCTAATCACATTTCAAACCCACAGGTGATGTTCAAGATAATGTAGTATTAAATTGAAGGAAGCTTAACATAAGAGTATGAAATACAGGCCTAAAATAATGAATCAATCTAACCTGGATTAACTGACAAAAAAGTTGGCTGTTTGAGAATGTACTGAAGCTTCAGTCATTAAGGTCAATGGCTCTTCTACATAATATGATATACATCAGACCCTAATATAGGGTAAACAGACAATTTCATCTCATCACATAATCAACTTTTTATTTGGAAGAAAACTAAATGTACCTGAAGGTTTTACAAGTGACATTTGACTTTCCTTTAAAGTAAAAGGTCAAAGGAAAATACTTGCACACTGTGTGTACACACCCATGAAATTCATCCTGTAACTTTATTTCTGTACAAACTGCACATACTTTTGCAGTAGGAATGTTCCTTTTAAACAGCTTCAAAAATAACAAAATTTAAAGGATGTTAGAGGTACCAGGCCTTTCACTAATTAATCAGTATTATCAATCACTAATTATTTATTTCAGCGATTAACTATTATCTCTACATCAATATAATGTAATAATGCAGTTTCACTTTGACTGGATCCTCCACCAAAGCACTGAAAGTGCTCCTTTTTTAAAGATTTGCAGTTTCTTGCCTTTAGAAAACTAAAGACTACACACCAAAATGGCATCCATTTTAAAATCTGAAAACTGATTATGTAGATGAAGGCTTCAAAAATTAAGTCAGTATGACTAGGCAGACATTTGACCATGTGCTCAGTTGTCATAAAAAATGCAGAGGTACATGGATTTGAATTGGCCAAAAATATGGCTCTTCAGTGCTTCCAAAAGCTCAAGTGTGTTTTCATCATCCTTTATTTATAGCTCAGGAATAAGCTTTCCAAATGCAAAAATCCATAGCAAAAAGAGGATGGTTATTTTACAGTCGCTAAGATGCTATTATGCAAGTCAGCACTGACTAAGCTAATGGTGTCAGGAAACATTTTCTTTCCATGTCATGAAAAAATGCTATTAAGAGCTTCATCCATTTCATCAAGGCAAAAAGATGTTGTTTGGGGCTTTTTTTTAAGAAGTAAAAAAAAAAAAAAAAAGAAAGCCAAATCCAATTGTTCTGCACTGGTATCTCAAAAATCCAAAACATTCAGATTTTTGGTTCACTCTCTTGAGTTTTTCTTCAGATTTTAATATTTTAAAATTCACATTTTATTGAAATTTAAAATAAAAATAATCTGAACTCTGATTAAACCTAGCCTGCTATTGTTTTTTTTTTAATGTCTCAAAAAATTGAGGTCCAGAGTTTTACTGACACTGACCAAGTTTTTTGAAGTGTTTGGCAGACTTTGGAGCCATCAGGTTTTGGCAAAGGGTTTTTTTTCCCCTGCTGGATTCCCCAGTGACAGGAGCCAGGCTGCCTGGACCAGTGGCCACAGGAGGGAGCAGCAGCAGAGCCTCCAATGAAGTGGTGCCATGGACCAGATAAGGAACACTGGACTCTCTCACCATAGTACCATGGTGTGCTTTGGCAGCCTACTCTGATAGGAGCCATCCACTCATGCTTTTCCCTAATTACTGCTCAACTTTCACCTAGCCTGGACACCCAACTTGGCTGACTATGTGGCTATTAACAGAAATCAAAAATACAAAAAGAGAAAATATATTGTTCATCCCTTTTGTATGTCATTTGTTGTGGGTTCTTGGGGTTGGTTTGTTTGGTTTTCCCCAAATATTTTTTCCACAGTTGTTCTTATTTTGCAGAATTTCACAGAAATGCTGCCAATTCACCTATGGATTCACGCAGGGACATAGTTTAGCGGTGGACTTGGCAGTGTTAGGTTAATGGTGTGACTCAATGATCTTAAATGTCTTTTCCCACCTAAGTAATCCTATGATTGTATGAGTATCAAAAGCAGCACAGACATGTTTATTGAAAAATAACTACATCACATTTGTACTTATACATCATTGGAAGAAACTATCCCTTCACTTTTTAAATGGCAAGCACACTCTACTGTGAATGGCTGGCCCCAACCTCCACTGCAGCAAACTGACCATAATTATCAGCTTGTGCAGATTCCTTGTTCTGTAAAGCCATCTATCTAGCAATAGATCTTAAAGAATCAGCACTCTTTCCCTCCATCAAATTTCCAGGGCATAGCTGTGAATGGCTGCATGAGTTTGATACACAATTATTAGTTTGAAAAGGGAACAGAAGTTTGTTTGGAGGTTCAAACAGTGAGATCGAGAACCCATGCCTAATACATACATACACTAAGGTAATAATTACCTTGCATTTGAAGAAGAAATGCAGCATTAATGCAATTTTTTAGACCTGAAAAGGATACACATAGTCATAGAGCAAGATGAGGGCAGAGCTGGGGAAGGCCATAAAGCTGGGAAGTTTCTTCTTCCTACTTACTAGACAATGAAACTAGAAACATATCTTTTGTATTAATGAAGAGTAATTTGTTAGGAATACATTGTCTTCAGAATCTTTTTGACAGTATCACAAGTAGCATTCATATTATGACTCAATTACATGTTGCTTTCCATGTATTTTTCTAAGTGCCACTGCATGACTTCAGTTGCAAATGCCTTGTTTCCAGTAGTTCAGTGAAAATAAACAAACTAAAGGATTTGTTTATCTATTAGCAAACTTAAGACATGACTAAATGTAAACCAATTTATCCTGAAACCAATCTGGGATTAGAGATATACCAATTTAGTAAAGTGATAAGAACAATAATTTTCAGTTCTTATCAGAGCCACAACAACAAACCTATCTATTAACTGGAAAAATTTGATCCTTTTGACATCAAGCTTTCCCATCTGAGGAAAAGAAACTCAGAAGAATTTGAAGTCAAACTAATTTACAGTTATAAAGCAATTTGCTGTGTTGTTTTAAGTATGATACAGAAACTCTGAGAGACAGTCCAGTATCTCAGCTCTCAGATGCATCAAATGAACAGAATCAGAAAAGGCACTATGCAAAAAACAGCAGTGACCCAACACATCGACACATTTTGTATCCTAGTTGAAAGGTCACTTCCCCAGGTAGTACAAATAGAAAACTATGTATTCACAGCAGCCTTCCAGTATCTGAAGGGGGCTTATAAGGATGCTGGGGAGGGACTCTTCATTAGGGGACTGTAGTGATAGGACAAGGGGTAATGGGCTAAAACTTAAACAGGGGAAGTTTAGATTGGATATAAGGAAGAAGTTCTTTACTGTGAGGGTGGTGAGGCACTGGAACGGGTTGCTCCAAGGAAGCTGTGAGTGTTTCATCCCTGGCAGTGTTCAACGCCAGGTTGGACAGAGCCTTGGGTGACATTGTCTAGTGTGAGGAGTTCCTGCCCATGGCAGGGGGGCTGGAACCAGATGATCTTAAGGTCCTTTCCAACCCTAACCATTCTATGGTTCTACTCCAAGAACACTAAGTTATGTCAACCAAGACTCACTACTGCATGAGAAAATTCTGCACTAGCAGAGAATTTCCAGTGTGGAGATAATTGTTGGAAACTGGTAATGCCACATTCATGGCCACAGCAGGAGACTAGCACAACAAAAACTAGTCCAATGTTTTAAAAGAAAACTAGGACCTACCATCTCTGTAAAAAAGTTTTTGGAAACTCAAATGCAATGCATGAATCATGGAGTGATTTAGGTTGGCAAAGAATTCTGGAAGTCATCTGGTCTTACCCTCTGCCCAAAGACAGGCCAATTTCAAAGTCAGGTCAGGTTGCTTAAGGCCCTGTTGAATCAAGTTTTAAGTATCTCCAGATCTTCTCACGGCACCTGTTTGAGCAGTTTACCACTCTGTTGTGAGAAACTTTTTGCCAATATGTTGGCTGGAATACTGTTCAAAATATCCCAGAAAGAATTGTTTTCTGCAAATGAATCCGCTATGCAGTTTTTAATTTCTAAAGGCCAAACAAAATGAGCCTTTCAGAACAGCTGCATACAATAGCTAAAAGCTGTATCAACAAACAAGAGGAGCACCTTAAATTGGACATGACCCCCAATCCAACAAATAAGGAATGGTTTCAGTAACGTAAATTTCCTGCAATTATCATGCTCTTAATGAGTGCATTACAAATCCAATATACCTGTACTGGATTTGCCAATAATGTCCTAAGATATTAAACTGTGAGTGTATTTGTCTAGTAAGCTTCTTAAGAACAGTCATGTTTCTCAGTCTCCTCTAGTTCTGAATACAAATTTTACACCAATACAGATATGGCAGCATATTTGCGTCTCAAACTTCCTTTAACAATAATTAATTCTTAGTAGGAAAGTTGCTGTATTTCACACTTAAAATAATGGAAATACAATGACAACATTATTGGTAATCTGACTGTAATAGCACTGTCTGGCCAGTTTTTATAAAGTCAGTGGATTTTTCAGGAATGCTAAATTGCTTAGATTGTTATTTTCAACTGCTGTAAAAACAGCTCAGCACACTGACAAGATTTTAATAAACTTCCTGCTTAAAATCTCTATGTACAAAGAATCAAAAAAAGTGGGACCATAATGTAATAACTGAATTGTCTCAAAAAATCCTGTTTGATTGGCTCAGATGCAAGCTTTACACTACCTATTAGTCTGGTGTTTAACAAAACCTGCAACCTTTTCTCTTTTAAAATTTAATTTATATTTTTCTACGCTTCCATATTTTAAAGGGTGCTGTAGCAACAGCCAGTTTAATACTAGGCATTTGTTGGGTATTAAATACTGGTTTGCATTCACAGACCAAAGCAAATGCAGGAATGTCACCAACCTCCAGTAATTAATTTTCATGAAATGCCCTGTGTTTTAACAGTTATTGCTTAAAAACACTTCTTTTGCAATGAATGGCCCCATATATTTTCTCCAAGACACTTCAGAAATTGATATCCCACTAGGGCTGAATTAAATTTTTTATTATTATCTAGCTCTATTACAAAATTCACTAATTGCTAGTTTTGAGATTGGTACAATCAATCATGCAATTTACATTCCCAGAAATGGTTTTAAATTGAGTATTTTCCCATTTTAAAATATTTAAACTAACAAAGTACCTTCAGGGGTCACAATTAAACAGTCTAAATATTAATAGCCTGAGTATGTTTACACAAAAGCTTTTAAGTGTCACAAAGGGAAAACAGGCTTGTGCAGGTGCGATTTCCTGATTGGCTTAAGCAGATATAAGGCTGCATGGTGGTTGCAAGAGCTACTCCCATCCTTCCCTCCACCCTAGCCTGACAGTCCTGGTACCTTCTTTGTGCTTATGGTTGTGCACTGTAGCCCACTAGATCAACCTGTTGATCTAGTCAGAGATGACAGGAAAAAATGACCCCTCTGGACACAGTGTGAAGACAGATCAGTATTTTATATATACATTTATACACACAGATATATGCATATTTAAGATATATATATAAATGGATATATGTGGATAATTCGTTTTTCAGCTTTTGATAGCAGTAAACCTGCTATCATAGTGCATGTCAAATTAAATGTTAGCTAACCATGAAACTACAAAAAGTTGCATATCTAGCTGTGACTTTTGCTGGTTTGCTTAACAGGAGGAGGGTACACACTTTTCTTAATGAAGCAACAAAACATGTGTTAGCTTGAAGTGTGTGCAGAAAAGCCACTAAGAATACTGTAGCATCACATCTCCTTTGTAAGACATTACTGACATTAGGCTCTGTTTGTCACTAAAACTTTTAAGGTGGCTTTAAGGTGAAGAATAATGATGTACTAAGTCACCATAGTAATGGTCTTAATACTGAGGTAACGTAAATGTAATATTTTACCAAGAGCATAAGATATCCAATGTATGTATTATCAGCTATATGAACATGTGTAATGCATTAATTCATCTGTATACTGAAGCTGTGAAGAGAAAAAAGAAAGCTTTTTATGGTTTTATTTTGTGCCTGCTTTCCCAAGACAAACTCTCCTATCAGTCATGTCATATTCCTACCCATTCACAGAGCATTACAAAAAGCTGCCTGTTTATTGATTTTAATCAAAAGAGGACACTACCTTGCTTGGATTCGTTCACAAGCATACTAACTTATACAAGCACGCTAACTACAAACTTCAAGACTACTGCTCAGGGCAACCTCATTGTTCTCTATGGCTTTCCAAGGAGGGGAAGTGGAAAAGGAGATGCTGATCTCTTTTCCCTTGTATCCAGTGACAGGACACGTGGGTATGGCTCAAAGGTGCCTCAGGGGAGGTTTTGACTGGACATTAGGAAACATTTATTTACCAGGAGCATGGTCCAACACTGGAACAGGCTTCCTAGAGAGGAGGTCAATGTCCTATGCCTGTTAGTGTTTAAGAGTCATTTAGACAAAGCTGTTAAGAACAAGCGTTAACTTTCATTCAGCCCTGAAGTGGTCAGGCAGCTGGACCAGGTGATCACTGTAGGTCCTTTCCAGATGAATTATTCTATTCTGAAACTGACCTGACTCTACCTGACAGAGAAAACATCAAAAGAGACCTAGCAATAAAGACTCAGGGTACAGGGTTACAGGCAGCTGAACAATCCAGTGTCTAAGGGCCTGCCCACTCCTCCCTTCCTGGTTCCTTCCTCACATTGTTTGCACATGTTCTTCTGCTGGCCCTCATGCTCCTACCTGTTTACCTCAGGACAACTCTGATAACTATCAAACCTTTCTGTGAACCTCTTAAACTCACTGATGGAGCATAAAACTATCCAAACTCTTAGTTTTTTACCATGTTATAAAGTTACAGTGAACCTCAGGGGGCTCCAATAAGCTCCAGAAGCAGCACATGGAAGCCAGGAGCTGGAAGGTAGGTGGGAACATATGACCCATCTGATAGCCATGTGCTGCTGAATCACTTCCTACGTCACATGAAAACACATGTTTCCGGTTGCAGTAGCACAAGCAGCTGAGCTAACCAAACAGTTCACTGCCACCAAAACGGAATTTTCCCTTTCTTCCTTCAGTTCTTCACTCTTGAAACCACCCTCTCAAAAGGAATATCCAGAAGGGACAAAGCGGATGTTTGATTTGTTTCTTTTGATTCCTCGGATGAGGTAATTCCACTAAAGTAATGACATTAGGAAAGGGAAATAACTAGCTGTGATACGGAATTCTAACATGGAAGCAAAGTAAAATCTTGGGTTGGACAGGATCTTGAGCAACCTGGTTTAGTGGGACGTGTCCATGCCCATGGCAGGGGGTTTGGAACTAGATGATGTCAAAGTCTTTTCCAGCCCAAACCGTTCTATGATTCTGTGATTCACACCAGTGATTAAAGCACCGTAACTCTGTATGTGCAAAACCAGACTGGAAGCTACGTTTTATTTAGAAGTACTTCAGAAAACACTCCTGCATCAACATAGGTTTGTCCTGGATCTTCCACACTGTATTCCAGTTCCAGATAAAAGTAATCTTACTATTATATTGTGTGCTAAGTTAAATGTAAGAAATTCTGGTTAGAAACATGCAGCTCAAAGAACAAGAATAGATATCGTGCAGTCATTTAAAACATTAACTGCAATAACTCATTAACCATCTTCCGTAAGAGATGAACCACTGTTAGACATTTACCTCATGTATGTCTCTCATCCAGCCTGTTATACTGTGAAAACTGTCCAGATTTGTGATGTCATATACTAGAACGAAGCCTTGTGCGCCACGAAAATAGCTAGTACTGAGTGTATGGAATCGTTCCTGGCCAGCCGTATCCCTGAAAGAAATTGTAAGATATCACACACACAAAAAAAAAACCAAAAAAGCAAGGATGATCAAACTGCAGAACTCCTAAGAAAAATCAGTTTAAGAAGCATCCTCCAAATTCTGAGTGGCGTTCCCTAACATGAAAGGAACAAGATAAGGATGAGAGAGAATCTGGGTGGCAGACAGAGCAGTGAAAGAAATACCCTGGAAATTTATTCTGAATACTACAGCCCTACTAGGGAAGGTAAACCAGTGGTTGAAGATTGAGTGTAACATCACTGGTTCTTCACATACATAATCATTAAGATCAGTACTACCCAGGTGATTTTAAAAAAATCTCAAATACAAGCACTGCAGGAGTCAGATGACATCCCACAGTCTGAAAAGACAGTAAACTGGTTTAGACAGAAGTTAGATTTTGGTAAAAAGACATAAGGTACGGGGACGCAGAGATTCCTACACAGAACTGTGCCTTAAGAAAGCTGTAAACAAGTCTCCAAGGCATTGGGATTAAAACCTGATATGGAAAAACTGCAGATCTAATACTGGTCAGATAATTAATGTACAGAGTTACTTCTTGAGAAGTTAAATACTGGTGAATATAAACAACTTTCAGTATTGGATGCCTGGAGAGACGGCTGTCGGTAGCCCTACAAGCTTTCAGAAAAACTTCAAAACCAAAAAACAGAGTGCAGGTTCCCAAAGATTAATCTTTCTAACTTTCTCTTGGTGACCCTTTTGAACATGCATTTGATGGGTAATGAAATGTAAAATTTTCTTTCTTTGTCACTTCCCTCAGTATTCCTATATGATTAAGTATACTTAGTATGGATCGTAGATCTTCATTGCTTGTATGCTGTAAGTTTTATTGTTAAAGCAACCTAGCAACAACCCTCTTTTTAACTTACATTAGTTACTGCAAAAAATTTGCTCCCCTAGGCCAAATTCTAATCTTAAAATGACCTAGTAGGAACAGCTGCACTTTAGGAAGATACACAATTAAAAGCAGATGAGATTTTTCATGCTGTAATGTAATTTAGTTGGCTCTCATTTGTAATATATATTAAAACTTACCATATTTGAAGTTTCACTCTTGTATCATTAAACGTTACTGCCTTTACTTTAAAATCAATGCCTAGAAGAAAGAAGAAAATCTGTAACATTTCTCATAACAACATGGATTCCCTTTGAAGAGTTTTCTTAGCTCTAGTTATCATGCAGTTTTGAACAGAAAGTGAGAAGGAATTATATCAACCAGAATAACTAGCCAACCATAGACATTCAAAGTCAAGCTGTAAAAGGGAATTACTCAATGGTGAAAATAGCGATGTGCCAATACATTATACAAATACAACGCGAAGCAATGCCAATACAAAGCAATGGAGAGGCAGGCCAAAGCAAAGGTGAAGATACTCTGAAACTACAGGTAGGTATTTCTATGAATAGGCAAGTGACACAATAGCAGTTTCATGGCCTATGCACAATAATACTGGACAAATATAGTGATGATTTCAGTTGTTTCCAGCTTCATCATGACAGTGTAGCAGCTATGAATGGGGAGGTGGAAATGCTTACAAAACTGTTATATGTGCAGCCCCATTTTTCTGGTCTTACTTCCAGAATTAAAAAAAAAAAAAAAATAAATAAAATCTAGAATTACATGAACAGGAGTAGGAATTAGCTGTACTAGTTCAATGTAAAGTCAAACACACACTGGATTTCATTCAAAATGAAGAGGATTGTCTCTACAGCCTTAATCACTGTATATCCCAGATCTAATGCTAAAATCAAGCATTAGCATTAGCTAAAATCAAGCATTAGCACTTGAAATCGATACAGAATGTTGTCTCTACATACACTACAGATCTTTCCTCAAAGATACTTTCCTCATAATTTATAGTGCTGGTACTCCAAATGTAGATGACACCTGGATTTATGATTTGTTGAAGGTTTAATCTTAGTATTGGAATCTTCCAGCCATCAGCTGCTGCCTTAGACAGACACATTTTCTCACAGTAACCATTTTTTCCCCAGTTACTTTATTGCTGAAATTTGAAATCCTATTTGATAATTTCTCTGCTCATTTTTTTTCCTTCCAACAATAAGGCTATTTTTGTCAAGTATATTAAGTGAAGGTGACATTGGAATAGCTCCCCATACTGCGCAGTCAAAATTCCCTAAGGTCAAAATACAACTCCTTAACATGACTTCAGAGTGGCTTTTCACCAGTAGCAATGTCATTCGAAAGAACTAAACAGACTGAAAAAGCACAAAACTTGTAAATTAATACCATTGTACTGATTTCTGTAACAATCTGTCTGCCAAATTACTTTATCAAAGGAAAGCATCCATGGCAGTAAACCAAAACTGCAGTAGAGGAAATGATCCCTTCCTTTTTACTGACAGATGTATTGTGCACAAAACTTTGGCAAGTACACTCTCACATGCATGATTCCAATGCTATTAATATTTTTGTGTGTATGTGGTAAAAGAGTTTAGGTGGATTTTTAAAATTATTATGATAATCATGTCCTTCACTTGATGAATTTTTATTGAAGCTCCAATGGAAAGGAAAGATGAAATAATATAACTGGTATCTGTAATTAATATTAAACAAAGCTTCCTTGATGGAATTAATAATGTCAGATGGAAATGTAATTTAAGTCAAATTTACTCATGTAAGGTGGAACTCTAATGTGATGGAAACATTTGCTCCTGAAATTCACATGGTTTGTTTAATTATCTGTATCACTTCCTACAATTGACATTAAAGCAGTTGAGAGGGACAGAGTACGCACTGGGAGGCTGAAATGTCACTTTCAAATGGTGCACTGGGAATATAGTAAAAAGTTATAATCCATCCAGGGATTCCCAGACCTATAGGAAACAGTTCTTAGTTGACATACATTTTAATAATAAATTGCTATAAGCTTTTTTTATTTATAAAAAGGGAAGCAGAGTGCTGAATCAGACTAAAACTTAATCTAAATTAAAATCAGGCTTATTGACTTCTTAAGTCAACTTCAAAATTTATTGACCTAAAAGGCCAATGAATGTTAGTAAAAAACAGAAGTCAATATGTTCTGCATGCATGAATTGTTCATGTCTTTATATGAAATTTCCAGCAAACTTAGCAAATTGGAAAGACAGAAAAGAAAAATTAGAAATATAACGCCAAAGACAGCTCACAGATTTCAGATGCTTTTAAGTCCATGTATTACACAACATGATCAACATAACAAAGCAAGCATTGATTATTGCTCTTGACATGTTATTTGACTGCAACAGCTTGTACTTGCTTCTTTTAAGCTGTCAGATAAAACCAAGCAGTGGTAAGATGGGTGTAAGTTCAAATTCTAGTTGTTATTTCCAAGTCTTACAGCCATGAGATTAATTTCCTTTAGTTATATTCCAAATAATAAATATACCCATATTAGGACTAGTGCACCTTAAAGACAGTTAGATCTAGAAAGTATCAAAACAGTCAGTCACAGGGGAATTCAACTGTGAATTGCCCCTCTCTTCCCTCAGTATCTATAAAATAGTATTTGGCCAGCTGCAAAAGTCCTTCAAGGAGGACTTCTACAGCTGGCCTAGAAAATTACAACACGCTTTTCACCCCAGTACAGCTGGCAAGTTACTGACATAAAAGGCCCAAAAAACCCCACCATATCTATCCAGTGAAAATGTGAGTTTGAGCAGCATGGCAGGATGCATGCAAAAGTGACAGCATGAACAGAGAGGGGTACATGCCCAGGTGCAGTCCTACCTAGCCCATTTACTGTCACACAGCCGAAACCAGGACAGTCTTCAACTCTGCAAGGAGGGAAGCAGTTGGTATCACTCCTGCACCTGAGCTAGACAAGCACCCAGAGAGATGTTGCAGATTGAGTTTCCACCGTGTTAGGCCTACCGGTACTTAACGCTTACTAGCTATTGGTGCATTACTTGAATCCTCCTGCATGTGCCAAAGTGTATCTGAAGCACAGTGGTATCTAAGCAGTCAGAAGTACTGGTAATTACTGTTGTGATGAAAAAAGCTTAAGATGGTTTGCTAAGAAAGTAAGAGTGACAAAAAACCCAGCCTTGTAAAAAAAATAAAAAATAAAATTAAGATGCAGACTACTACTAGTGTTGTTAACCCAACAGGACATGTTTACCTTCAACTGGAATAATTTTTATTAACTCTATTTCCTTCTAAAGTGAGTATCAAGGAATCTAGAAAGACTTCAGATCTGGTTCTCTTATTCGTTGTGCATTAGAAACAAATACATAAATTGCTTGACTTTGTAACCTTGCTCTGAATAAATATACATTTTTTGAAATATTTTTTTGAAGAAAAATGTCAAAATAATATTTTAATTTTTTTTTTAATCCTGAAGTGGGAGTTGTAGCACTTCCGACTATGACAGATTTGGGAGGACTCGCACCTCTACAGAAATGTTTCTCTCAGAAAACATGCATGTTGCGGCACCCCACTGTAATACAGCAAAATAACCACCTCGCATCCTGTCAGATCACAGTCCTGCTCACTTGCATACAAATGGGGGATTTTTTTGTTCATAAACATTCTCTATGGCTTTATACGCAATGCTATTGTTTAAACAAAAATATTTATTCTTTATAGTCTATTCATAATACAATGCATTTGCCTTATGATGCATATAAGTTTAATTAGAAAACTATATCTGCTTATAATTTACTCAAACTGCGTAATTGCAGAGGAGGAAGGGCACCCAGCCTTGAGTGTTTTAGTGCTGCACAAGAAGCTTTCAATTAAAATTTACTGTGGAGCCTTTTTTTTTTTTTAAACTAACTACAAAATACATCATTTTATAAAAGTCCCCCACTACAGAAGCCTATTACAAAATGTTTGCCTGGGTTTGGGTTTTTCCTCCCCTGCAATAACGCTAGTATTTTTCCTAGTAACACAAAACTGATTCATAATGAGATAGAAACGAGACTTCCAAAAACCTTTTAACTTCTGTGCCTACTGCCCTTTGCCACTAAGGAAGGCACATGATTTTGTCAGGGAACTCAGATGGCTAAGAGACTGCACAGCCTAGATAATATTCCCTCTACTCAAATCACCATTTCAGCTGGACAGAGGGTGAAAAATCAACTAGCATCAGATGAACTGCATGAATAGGCTGCATGACAGATAGAGATCATATGACTGAGCTTGTATGAAATAAACAGGCATCCAGACGAAATCAGTTATTTGGTTTGATGGTGTCAACACAGAGGGAGAAGACATTATGAGCAGAAAAACTATTGCACTGCATGTCCCTCCTTTACACCGTTCTGAGCCATGATCAAAAATCCATGCTCTCAGTTGTAGCTGTCTTCATGAAAAAGAAACTTCCACTTCCAATATTATTGTTTTGTAAGCCATCACGCACAGTCCCATTTGTTTTAAAAGTTTAAGCTCTAATATATCTCTCAGAGGGAATTAAATAGAATACGGTACTTCAGAAATAACTTTAAAATCACATTCAGGTTACAAATACCACATATATATGATTCATTTACATTTCAGTTAAATCTCATGAGAACAGGTTTCAGGAACAGTAATAAAATTAACAATATTATTAAGTCCATAACTGTCACAAAGCTCTTCTATCCAAACTATTCCTTAAACTATTTCAACCCACAAATTGGAAAATGTATTTTTAATATCACCACCATACAAGAGTTTTTGACTCTGCAGTGGACTGAATTAAGAGTAAATGAAATTGTGTCTCAAAATAATAACTTCATAGTCAGGAATCTATGTTCCAGTATGAAACACATCAACAAAGCTGATATTTATTCTCATGGCCATTCTTTGGGACTCCTTGCTAAGGCTCGGAACAAGTTGCCTGTTATAAGGATCAATTTCATTAATGTAATGCTAGTAGAGTTCTTCATTTTTTGTTTGTGTTGGTTTCAGAAGCTGCTTTGCAAGAGTAGGTAAGAAAATACAAAGTGGTTTAAGTTCAGCCGTTCTAATGTGGGTACGTCAAGTCACCTTACTTACAGTAAGTATTCCCTGGACCAACTACTACCTGTTACTTACCAACTCATCCCACACTGAAAAACAAAAAACCAGGACAATGCATATTCCAAATGCATAAACACACAATTTCTTGTGTATACTTTAACTTCCTCTTCAAGATCATGGAAAAAAAAAAAATTCTTACAGACACAGAAACTTCTAAAACTGAAAATTTCCCAACCAGAAATTGAGGAAAACACCATACCTGGAAGTGCTCAAAACCCGTGTAGATGAGGCCCTAAGTGAGAAGGTTTAGTGGTGGTCTTTGCAGTCCTGAGGCAATGGTTGGACTTGATGATCTCAAAGGTCTTTTCCAACCTAGTTGATTCTATGATTCTACGAAAATCTCTACAGCAAATCAAAGCAGTGCACCCACATTATGTTTTCACCATATGGACAGTCAACTTGCCGTTCCCTGTGGCACCACGTGGCTGGCACACCTTAACAGTGGGGCTCCCCATCATTCACCATCTGCAGAGGTGCCTGGGAAGGCAGCACAGCAGGGCAGCAAAACCACCTTGGTCTGGCAGGGTTAGTGATGTCCATCAGAGCAGTGGACCTGCTTTAATAATCACTTACATGACTATCTACAGTGGAACGTATCTTGATTTTATAACCTTAAAATTATCAGCACAAAGTTAAATCCTTTTCTGGCATGAAAGATGAAGGAACTGCGCATTTTACTGACATCTAGCAACCCTCTAAGGTAGATAATAGTTTTCTCTGCACCCAGATTGGGGTATAGCAACAGGGCCTCTGTCTGGAATTGTAGGCAATAACAAGTAAGAAACAAGTTGTTGCCGTAAGTTTAAGAGTAGGTTCAGAATGCCCCAGACCAACAGCCGGCACAGAACGGTTCTGGAGCCAGGATGACATCTTTCCTGACACCCTGTCAAACCTCTGCAAAGGTTTACTCCCGCTAGACGTGGCTGGACACATGCAACAGTTAACTGAGGGAGATCTGACACCTCGGACACAGTCAGCGCCGGGCAGGCTCTGTTTGAAACGGCCCGCGGCCGTGAGGCGCACCCGGGGAGGGAAAGGCTGCTGACAGGGCGGGTGCGAGGCGGGCGCCCAGGCGTCCGCTGGCCGGCTGGGACACACGTCCGCCCCTCAGGGCGACAGCGAGCGCTGCCGAGCCCACAACCACACGGCGGGGCTGCTGGGCCGTGCGGCTGGCTGGCAGGCACCAAGGGGCGCGGGAGAGCGCCGGCAGAGCTGGCTATCCTGGGGCCGTTGCTGGCCCGCGGTCACTCACCGATCGTGGCCAAGTAGGAGGAAGTGGGCGCCCCGGCGGGCGGCGAGCCGGGCTCCGTGTACCTCCGCACGATGGAGGTCTTCCCCACGCAGGACTCCCCTGCCATCACGATTTTCACCAGCAGCGGCGGCGATGGCTGCCCCGCACCGCCCTGCCGCTGCCCCGCCATGGAGAGGGCCGAGTGGCGGCCGGACCCGGCCGGGCCGGCCGAGGCCAAGCGAGGCTGGGCGGGGCAGGGGCCGCCTCGCTGAGAGGGAGCGGGCACCGCCCCCGCCTGCGGGTGTGTGGCCGAAGGAGCCGCGCGCCGTCTCCGCTGGGGACTGCGGGGCCAACCGCCGGCCGGCATAGGTGGGCTGGGCCGGGCCGGGCCGCCCGGAGCGGCGGGGCCGCTGTGGTGTGCTAGGGCTGCGGGGCGTGGGAGCGCGGCAAACCGTCTTGGAAGAATAAAGTATGTCTGCTTTTGGTTTTGCTATCTGGCTTCATGTTGCTGTCGTTACGGCAACCAGAATCTCTGCACGTTACAGAAAATGCAAAACTGGCCAAGCTCGAAATTATTTAATTCCCATGTTTGCTAAAAAGGTAATAACCGAGACCAAAATGGTCAGTGTGGGGTTAATGCTGTGCTGTAAGACGGTGGTGATGTGGCCTGCCCCAGTCCCAGAGCTGCCACGAGGGCCAGGCCCGTTGTGCTGATACCCATGGACTGAGCTTCCCAATGATCTCCGCCTTCCCTCTCCCTCAGCTACCAACGGCTATGGTTTGGTGACACTTCAGGTGACAGCCACATGAGTCCATCCCCATTGCAGAATGTGCAGCAGAGCCATGTTAGACCTCTTACAGATCCTGTGCAGCCTTCCATGCCCTCTGCCTCATCTGCTGTCCTGAATTAGGATTCTGAAATTATGCAACTATGCACTCTTTTTTCATGAAGCTCCGTCACTGAGGGGGAAAGGGGGAACTTTCACAACCCCCATAACACTTCCCCCTGTGAAGTACAAACAGTCTGGTTTCTCATTATTTCCTAACGTTAAAGACAGAGACAGAGGAAATAGGTTTTAAGAATTTCCTCTTTTTCACTTTTGATTTGTTCTCATTTGACAGTCACCATTACCCATAACATACAAATGATGTATATCTAGTGTAGGCTTGTTGCATGCACAGATGGATGTTTTTACCAGAATCCCACACTGTCCAAATTACAAGGCCTTTGGGCATTTGCCAATGTGCACATCGAGCTCCTCCACTGTCATAAATTTGGGGATATATCTGAATTAAAAGTACTTATAGGCATTTAGAAATATTTGCCTCTATCTAGGCCTGTAATGACTCCCCAAAGGTTTTTGACATTTTCATCTTCAACCCTTCAAGCATGGGTTCAACTCATGCAGCACAGAACAGTTGATGTAACATACATTTTGTGGAGGACAACTTGTGAGTTCTACCTAGGACATTCTCTTATCAAAGAACAAGTGTTATTTCAGGCTTATCTCCCTATTCCCCAGACTCTGAACCATACACCAACCTGCCTTGGCTTACCAGAGCTGTACTGGTTAGTCATAAACCTTAGGACTTTGTGGTAAGAGATCTTCAAAGGGTGACAACAACTTGTTTCTCAATCACTGCAGTTTTCTTAATTGCTGGAAGAATGAGAATTTCTGTTACAGGCTGGAAAATAACTAGTAAGAAATGATTGACAAAGTCAGCTGCTGAGTTAGCTGGTTCTTTAAGGAGTGACCTCTGAGATGTGGCTGTGTAAAAAACCCAGTACTACTGAAGAAGGCGTCAGTCAAAGGGTTTCCATTAGGGACAGAGAAAGGCTGTGTATTGATGAGACTGGATACGTTCTTGAATGCCTGTTGGTGGGAGAAGCTGACCCTACAGGACACTGTAGTTGACACATCACATTATGAAATCATTTGGGAAGCCTATCCTGTACAATAAAGCTGCAGGCGTGTAGCTTGCTTCATTTAACAAAGCAAAGGCTAGGAGGGAATATGGTTACTCTCTGTCAGAGATTAAATGATAAGGAGGTAAAAAAGGCTGCTTAAACAAAAAGATAATAGCATGTATAGCTGTACACTGACAATGAATATGGCCAAGCTAAACATTGTGAGGTTTCTAGTGATATTTCAGAAAAATCCTACAATTGAAATAATTCTGAGAAAATTCTTAATAAAGTCAGAACAAGATGAATTTGTCAGGGAGGAATTTGTTTTCCCCCTGCAATGGGGAAGGGCTGGACTTCATAATCCAGAACACTTCCTACGAGAAACATCCCCTGCCATCTCAGCAGCCCTGTGAAGTTCTGCTTCCCCATGCAGAAATTTGAAGTTACTGTTGAAATTATCATTACCATTTGAAGTTATCCCAGATCTGAGTGATGATGGGCTGCATCTTCTGGTAGTTTTCATGGATCAGAGGCGATGATGCGTATGGGGAATCTATAACACTTAGGGATAATCTGCAGCAATGGAGGGGTGTCTTCAGCCGGCTGTGCATCAGTCCTGCTTTGATCCCTCTGTGTGGCTGTAGAAGTGAGGATAAGGCTTGTGCTATGTACTGTAGATGGATGCTGTAGCACAGGTTTGCAGACACGTGCAAGTGGGCAGCACGTTGATTTATAGATCTACCGCAAGACTTTGTCTTTGCTGTAGAGCCTTCACCCATTCTCTACTCTGAAGCTGTTCGTCACAGAATAGCTTTCTTCAAATGAGGGCAACACTGCAGCTGCCTGCAGCAGTTAGATTTAGGTGGCAGCCTGGACTGATGGTATTAGCAATAATGCTACATTAGCTCAGTCTTTGCCCTCTGTTTATTTAAAAGTAACAGGCTCTCCAAAGTATTTTGTATATTTGAATGTTGATTTATGAGCAATATGCAAGGCAGGATTCTAGCTAATATCTTAATGAAACTCTAAATGCTAAGGGTTACTGCTGCTGTCAGTGAGTTACAGTATCACTTTCCTCATATTCCTATCCACAAGGGGACAGTCTTTCCATCTCTTACCACTGGCTAAAACTATTTAAAAGTTAGCTCCTTGAAAAGCTACCATTCAATGACTGAAATTTAGTTTTTCTTCAAAATACATGTTTCGTGCTTCATAAAAAACTGACAGATCTTTGTCAACTATGTTACTGTATTTATAAAGCTAATCATAAGCAAAGTTAGTTAATTAAGCTAATGACTTGAAAATGACTGTGCAGCTACAAAACAATCAGTGCAAAGCGCAGAACAAAAGTTTGCATGATGCTTATTGAGATATCCTTGGAAAAGAATGTCTTTCTCTCACATTCAACATTTTTGGTTGCTTACTTCCATTTCTTTGACTGTCTTTCCAATAACATGATAAATAGCAATAATAATAATGACATATATTTTATTAACATTGTATGGGAGACTTCATTTTCACACAGAGAAATGACTAGAATTATTATAGTTTCAATTTTTTAAATTTTGGGGTTATTACAGCATCATATTCATTTTCGTTGAATACTTCTAAATGGTTAGGGTTACTTTTATAGCTATGATACTCAGGTTTTTGTTTCTTATCTGGAATGTTCTGTTTAGAAATAACTTTAATGCAAAATATGCAGCATAATCTTGTCACTAAGCCTGCTTTGTGCATTCTTCCAAGCAACTGCTATTAAAAAAACCCGCAAAAAACTAACAGTTAAAGAGATGAACATAAGTATAAACCAAGGATGAAGAAACAGCAGTGTTCAAGTGCAGCCCTGTTTCTGAAACATAGGGTACCTTTATTTCATTAAGGAGGCCAGAGCCTCCTTAATAAAATAAAGCTTACAGACTATCACAGTAGTTCAGTGTATTCCCATTTGAAATTATTTTAATGGAATATTAGAATAGTAGTGCAATTACAGATATTAGCAGCATATCCTGCAAGTTTTCCTGAGCTGAAGGTATAAGCTGAAAATGGTAGTAAGAAGAAAAGGTGAGGTTTAATTTGGATTTTAAATCTTCAGCACTAAGTCACTGCTTCTGTCAAGATTACTCACTGAATAGATTTTGTTAAGTGACCAAAGTGAAACTCTTCACTTTCATTAGTGTTAAGATAAAGCCACTTCTGTGGACGAAAATGAGGGTAAATTACTCATGACAGGCAAAACAGGGTTCACTACTCCTTAAATGAAATTTCTGAGCCAACTGTAAAGTATTCCAGTTATTTAAAAGATAGGATTTACTATTAAGCTGGAATATAATTTTCAATATTTCACCAGAGAACAGGGCACTTCTCTTGAGTCAGAATGACTCAAATGTAGGTTTACTGATGAAAACTCTGTTGGAAAGCGATCGTGATGAAGCACCCATTGTTTATAGCTGCTTGTGACCTGGTTCAGAGCTGTAGGGGATTTTGATTTTATTTTTCTTAATAATAGAAGTCATCATTACTTACTGGGTTAGGTTATTAACTTCAGTTAGAATATCCCTTGGTACCCCCAGATTCAAACCCACATTTCTGATCTACTGGTAAGGAAGACATATTAGCAGAACAGTTAGTCCAAGCCTTACATCAGGGCTTCAAAACCTTAGAATTTAGCTGATCAGAAAACCAAGCATTTCCTTCAGCCCCATCTCAGCATCATTGCTCTTGTACTCACAGAAGCTATGAATATGTAGTAATTTGATAGTAAAATTTTGTCACTCAGCAACTTTAAGAACACTTCTAAAAAATAGAAATATTAGAGTTCCTATATCAGTAAAGGTAGTCATCTGCAGCTCCTCTTGCAAAGTATGATTTTTTTGTGGCTCTGGAGCAGCAAAAGAAATAGATGTTTTAGTAAGAGACCACAATGATTGCCATCTGTGTAGTTAATAAAATTCTAATTATATCTGAAATTTGCTCAGAAAAAAATCACATTTATGGCAGGGTCACAAATGTTAATTTTTCCCTTTACCTTGACCCTGCCTCATGTCTACTACCGAAATACCAGAACACTGTAAATGAAAACTGGTATTTCTGGAAAACCAAACTTTTGACCAGTCCTAGTATCTGAGTGATCTGCGGCTGTCGGTCTCTCACTGTCAGCCTTGATCACTGAACAGCCTGAGAAGTACTAGCTTTAACTACACTCACTCCTCCCGGAGTGTCTACCCCGTTACTCAAACTGTGCTTTCTTTGGCTTGCTGCTTAATTATCTGGTCAAGATTTTCAAAATCGTTATTGAGTGTTACATTTCTAAATTAATATACAGGAACCTAAAAAATTATCTAGCTGCACAAATGCTAAATGGAAACTGCTGG